AAACCCCTCCTTTAAGGTGCAGGCATTGTACTTCACATTTCCCTTCACAAATTATTATGTTGCTCACACTCCAACAGCTTGTCAGGTCCTGAAAACCATTCGTCTCCACTCCTATCTAACACGCTCACACATGCTTGCTGGAAGTCCAAACCTCCTTTACCCCCTCCCTCCAACCTTTTTGAGGATGACTCCTATCCCAACTTCCTCCCCCTACAGATTTATATGCTCTCCAAATCATTCTACTTTGTTTCATTCTCTCTAAATGACCAAACCACTTCAACAACCCCTCTTCAGCCCTCTGACTAATACATGTACTTTTAGTAATTCCACACCTTCTCCTAATTTCCACACCGAATTCTCTGCATAATGTTTACACCACACACTGCCCTTAGACAGGACATCTCCACTGCCTCCAGTCACCTCCTTGCTGCAGCACTTACAACCCAAGTTTCACACCCATATTAGTGTTGGTACCACTATACTTTCATACATTCTCTTCTTTGCCTCCATGGATAACGTTTTTTGCCTCCACAGATACCTCAATGCACCACTCACTTTTTTTCCTTCCTCAATTCTAAGGTTAACCTCATCTCTCATAAACCCATCTGCTGACAAGTCAACTCCCAAATATCTGAAAACATTCACTTCTTCCATACTCCCTCTCTCCAATGTGATATCCAATTTTGTCTTTATCTAAATCACTTGATACCTTCATTACCTTACTCTTATCTATGTTCACTTTCAACTTTCTACCTTTACACACCTTCCCAAACATGTCCACTAACCTTTGCAACTTTTCTTTAAAATCTCCCAAAAGTACAGTATCATCAGCAAAAAGTAACTGTGTCAGCTCCCATTTTGTAGTTGATTCCCCATAATTTAATCCCACCCCTCACCCCAACACCCTACCGTTTACTTTTACAACCCCATCTATAAATATATTAAACAATATTGGTGACCTTTCACGTCCATGTCTAAGACCTACTTTTACTGGGAAGTACTCTCTCGTACACACCTTAACCTGAGCCTCACTATCCTCGTAAAAACTCTTGACAGTATTTAGTAACTTACTACCTATTCCAGATACTTGCAACATCTTCCACATTGCTCCTCTATCCACTCTCTCATATGCATTTTCTAAATCCATAAATGCAATGAAAACTTCCCTACCCTTATCTAAATACTGTTCACATGTATGCTTCAATGTAAACACTTGATCTACACATCCCCTACCCACTCTAAAGCCTCCTTGCTCATCTGCAATCCTACTCTCTGTCTTACCTCTAATTCTTTCAGTAATAACCTATTGTACACTTTACCTGGTATACTCAGTAAACTTATTCCCCTATAATTTTTACAGTCTCTTTTGTCCCTCTTCCCTTTACATAAAGGAACTATACATGCTCTGCCAATACCTAGGTATCTTTTCTCTTTCATACATTTATTAAACAAAAATACCAACCACTTCAACACTATATCCCCCCCTGCTTTTAACATTTCTGTCATGATCCTGTCAGTTCCAACTGCTGTACCCCTTTTCATTCTACATAATGCCTCACGCACCTCCCCCACACTCACATCCTGCTCTTCTTAACTCCTAAAAGATCTTATACCTCCCTGGCCAGTGCATGTAATTACTGCCTCCCTTTCTTCATCGACATTTAAAAGTTCCTCAAAATATTCCTGCCATCTATTCAATACCTCCAGCTCCCCCATCTACTAACTCCCCTACTCTGTTTTTAACTGACAAATCCATTTGTTCCCTAGGCTTTCTTAACTTGTTTATCTCACTCCAAATTTTTTCTTATTCTCACCAAAATTTCTTAACAGTGCCTTTCCCACTCTATCATTTGCTATCATTTTGCACTCTCACCACTCTCTTCACCTTTCTTTTACTCTCCATATACTCTGCTCTTCTTATATCACTTTTCTGCTTTGTAAAAGCCTCTCATAAGCTACCTTTTTCTCTTTTATCACATCCTTTACTTCATCATTCACCAATCACTCCTCTTTCCTCCTGCACCCACCCTCCTATAGCCACAAACTTCTGCCACCACATTCTGATACTGCATTTTTAAAACTATCCCATCCCTCTTCAACTCCCCCACTACCCATAGTTGCACTAGCCCACCTTTCTGCCAATAGTTGCTTATGTCTCACCCTAACTTCCTCCTCCCTTAGTTTATACACTTTCACCTCTCTCTTACTTGCTGTTGCCATTTTCCTTTTGTCCCATCTACCCCTAACTGTAGCTACAACTAAATAATGATCCAATATATCCGTTGTCCCTCTATAAACATGTACATCCTGAAGCCTGCCCATCAACCTTTTATCCACCAATACAAATCTAACAAACTACTTTCATTATGTGCTATATCATACCTTGTATACTTATTTATCTCTTTTTCATAAAACATGTATTACTTATTACCAAACCTCTTTCTACACATAGTTCAGTTAACCCTTTGACTGTCGCAACCCCAAATCCTGAGGTGTCTCCTGATGTCGCAAAATTTCTGAAAAAAAAATAAACTATTTTTCTTATGAAATGATAGAGAATCTTTTCCCGATTGTAATGACGCCAAAAGAACGAAACTTGATGGAAAAATGACAGAATTACGCTCCCGTGAAGTTAGCGACCTCGGCGATATTTATGAATCAGCGATTTTGCCCACTTTGAGCCCTACTTTCGGTTAATTCCATTGTTCCAGTCAACCAAATTCATAACTATTTCTTTAGAACTCCATTTTTTCTATCGATTGAGTACAAGAAACTGCCCATTTACCGATTTCAACTACCCAATAACGTGGTCAGAAATTTGCAATTTGGCCAATTTCACGAAAATTAAAAAATATGACAATTTCAAAATAGGGTCCAGAATGAACAATGCAGACATTCCTGGCTCAAAAATAAAATTTTCTTTGTTCATCAGTCACATCTCCAGGCCCCTCTGATATTACTCGTGCTTTCTATTTTGAATTTTCGTTCAGACAGAAAATAGAAGACTTACTGTTATGCAGACTACTGCAAGTATTGTAATAATTGTATAGGTAATGTCAACCCATTCATGACTACATATTAGAATGGCTACTTGGACATTTATTGGAAAATGACATCATTTGTTTACTTTTGAACATCGGCAAAAATCAAACATTTCCCCTAATTTGAGCTCCATTTCAAGGTTCTTTTCATAGTAAAACCAATCAAAATCACCTCTATTTCTATAATATGTTTTCCATTCTATGAAATGAGACCAAGAAAACGAGAATACAACAATAAATACTATGTGAAAATAGACCACAAAGTTGGCATTTTAATTAAAAAAAAAACGGTCGGAGTTTTTTTTTTCTCGTTATGCACTGCGTGCTGCAGGATTTTTTTTATATGGTACACACTGACCACAAATACCCATTCTCTCACATGTGGGCCTACCAGCTTTTGAGTATATATATACGTCAAACACAGTGTCTCGTAAGACGTATATATACGACCGAAACAGTCAAAGGGTTAAAGGCTCCCGATTTTCATTTACCCCTGGCACCCCAAATTTACCTACTACTCCCTCCACAACATTTTTACTCACTTTAGCATTGAGATTCCCAACCACAAGTATTCTCTCACTTGGTTCAAGACTCCCCATAGCACTCAACATTTCCCAAAATCTCTCTCTCCTCTACACTGCTCTCTTTTCCAGGTGCATAAACACTTTTCACATCCAACCTTTATTGTACTCCACATAATCCTTAAATTTATAAATTTACAGTCCCTCTTTTCCTGCCATAATGTATCCTTCAACATTATTTCTACTCCTTCCTTAGCTCTAACTCTATTAGAAACCCCTGACCTAATCCCATTTATTTCTTCCCACTAACACTCTCCTACTCATAAAAATTAATAAAGTTAAAAAAAAAAAAAAGATTTATCTGCAACATTTTTGCAAGCGGCAGTACTCAGTGTTGCTGCTACACGAGCATCCAGTGCCAACTTTGTGGCATTATATCTTGGTAAGTACTGACCCTAAATGCTGAAAGTAGCTTGATATTGAGCTCAAAATTACAGATATTAAATTTTTTGCTGATTTACATGAGAATGGGTAAGGCCCCTTACACCCACCAATCTGTTTTATTTTTATTTTATTTTGTTTGGTCTTATTACACAGAAAATTACCCACCAATCTTTTTTTTTTTTTTCTCAAAATATTTGGAGTGCCGGTAGTGAAATTGTTAAACTACAGTACATTTGGACAGTTAAAGGGTTAAATTCCTTCAGGTGCTTATTTGAAAGTTCCTCACAAACCTCTCAGTCGTTATCACCATTTCTCACACTAAGTCACTGTAAGAACATGTAAAATGGCAGGTGAATTTTACAAACTTCTACTTGCATTTGCTATGTAATGTATCTTTCTTAATAGTTCTTATTCTTTACAGTTTAGGAGGTCTGGTCTGAGACTGGGCTGTAGGGGTGATGATCTTGGAACCATTAATAGACAAATATGTTGAGAAGAGAAATTTTATAATTGTGTATAATATAGTAGATTAGGCTTAGAATGGAGGTATATATGGTCCAGTTTTATATAAACTAGGATTTTGGTGGATCACCTGCACTCATAATACAATGTATACCATAAGGTTAAGTTTATTGTACAATAGGCAGCAGATGGCAGTAGCCTACAAATTGTGAATCAAAGATACACAAACAGTGATTTGCCAACTGTGTTGCTTTATCAGGTATGTACTGTATAAGTGTCCTTCATTTTATGTTGTAGATGTGTTCCAGGAACTTGACAGTTGTACTAAGCTCGGTCAGTCCTTACCGAATACAGATAGTGACTGTACATAACGTGTACATAATTACCAATAGAAATAGGACATTGTATGTTAGTGAGTTCTCATAAAGTGAAGGAGACCTACACTTGATGAAGCTCCTTTTATTATGCAGAATATTGCTCAATAAAGGGCTTACTCTGTCTTTGAATTATCTTGCTGTACAATATTTAAGTAAGTTATATTTTTGCTTTACAGGTGACCATGTCTCATATTCTGGAAGGATCAAGTGATAGTGTAGGTGGTCTCATCATCCGTAAAACCAAGAAAGAGGATGACTTTGTATTTAAGAAGCCTGCCATTCCAGTACGAGGATCTATTTTAGGTTTGGACAAACTTGCAGCTCTCAAGAGGAAAATACGTGAAGATGTTGATTTGGAGAAGAGTAAATTAAAAAGCAGAAGGCACTCTTCTTCTTCAAGTGATTCAGACAGTGGTGGTGATGATGATGATGAGGATGCTGTCTACAGAGAAAGGCAAGTGAAGGACAGTGATAAGGGAAAGGAGAGAGAGTATCGTTCTAGGTACGATGAGACACCAACGTACACTGGTGGCGTTAATAAGGATATTAAAGATAAAATTATTGAAAAACAAAGGAAACTAAAGGATAAATATGTTAAAGCATCAACAAAAGATAGAAAAAGGGAAAAAGAGGGGGACCATAAAGAGAAGGATGAGAATAGGGAGAGAAGAGGTAGAGATAATGAAAGAGACAAGAGAGACAAGCATAGATATAGGGACAATTACTGGGATAAATATTACAAAGAAAGAAGTGATAGGAGAGATTACAATGACAGAAGTGATAGACAGGATGACTACAGTGAAAGATCAGAGAGATGGATTGGATCAGATCAGGACTGGTCAGAGAGATTCAATAGAACGCCAAGGTTTTCTGAGGCCCCAGAAACTCCTAGGATCCCGGGTGTCAAAGATACACCCTCGCACTCATCCTGGGATGATGATGAAAATACACCATCAAAAATGTCTTCGTGGGATCTGCCCACTCCTTCATCTTCCTCCCGCCGCTTATCTCGAGACAACGATTGGTCTATACGCAGTGGTAACTGGTCAGTACGGGAGAGATCTCCATATATAAAAGCCTATCAACATGGTGACAAGACTCCACTGCCTACCCCTTCATACAAATATAATGCATGGATGAGTGAAAGAGTAGGGAGAGAGGAAAGGGAATTTGAAAATGAAGAAGAAAGAGAAAAGTGGGAGGAAGAAGAAAAAAGATTAGATCGACAGTGGTATGATATGGACCAGGGTTATGATGACACAAATAATCCATTTTCTGATGTGTCTGCCGAATATGAAAGAAAGAAAACTGAAAAGATTGAGAAAAGTAAAAGAAAGATGAGTGCTAAACAGAGACAAATTCATAAAGACAATGAATTGTGGGAAACAAACAGAATGTTAACTAGTGGTGTTGTACAAAAAATTGATTATGATGAAGATTTTGAAGAAGAATTCACTAATCGAGTACATATTTTAGTGCATAATATTGTCCCACCCTTCTTGGATGGACGTATTGTGTTTACAAAACAGCCAGAGCCGGTGATCCCAGTTAAGGATTCCACTTCTGACATGGCTATTGTGTCCAGGAAGGGCTCAGCCGTTGTCAAAGCTCGGCGTGAACAAAGGGAACGCAGAAAAGCTGCAAAAAAAGAGTGGGAACTCGCAGGCACACAACTTGGCAATCTCATAGGAGTCAAAAAAGAAGACGAGAAGGATGACAGAAAAATTGAAGAGGGTGAAACTGATTACAAAGCTGATCAGAAATTTGCTGAACACATGAAGGTAGCAAGTGAAGCTAGTAGTGACTTTTCCAGAAAAAAAACTTTCAAAGAACAACGTCAGTTCCTTCCAGTTTTTGCAGTGAGAGAAGAGCTCCTCCGTATTATTCGAGAGAACTCTGTGGTAGTTATTGTAGGTGAAACAGGAAGTGGGAAGACGACACAGCTAACGCAATACCTTCATGAAGAAGGATACAGTCAACTAGGCATGATTGGATGTACACAGCCACGTCGTGTAGCAGCCATGTCTGTTGCCAAGCGTGTATCAGATGAAATGGGTACCCATCTTGGAGAAGAGGTTGGCTATGCTATTCGATTTGAAGACTGCACGAGTGAGAATACAATTATTAAATATATGACTGATGGTATACTACTTCGTGAATCTCTACGTGAAAGTGAATTAGACAATTACAGTGCAATTATAATGGATGAAGCTCACGAACGTTCTCTGAACACAGATGTATTATTTGGGTTACTCCGTGAAGTTGTAGCTCGTAGACAGGATCTAAAACTTATTGTTACATCTGCAACAATGGATGCCCAGAAGTTTGCCACATTCTTTGGTGAAGTACCTGTATTTACAATACCAGGGCGAACTTTTCCTGTGGAGTTATTCTTTTCTCGCAATGTGGTGGAGGACTACGTGGAAGCAGCAGTAAAACAGGCGCTACAGATACACCTTCAGGCTGAGGAGGGGGATATTTTAGTGTTCATGCCAGGTCAAGAGGATATTGAGGTAACATGTGAGCTTATTGTTGAAAAGCTAGATGAGATTGATAATGCCCCACAGTTGGCTGTGCTACCTATATATTCTCAGCTTCCATCTGATCTTCAAGCAAAGATTTTTCAGCGGGCTCCTGATGGACTTCGAAAGTGTGTTGTTGCTACCAACATAGCTGAAACTTCACTCACTGTAGATGGCATTAAATATGTGGTGGATTCTGGATATTGTAAATTAAAGGTATTCAACCCACGGGTGGGTATGGATGGCCTCCAGGTATACCCAGTTTCACAGGCTAATGCCAATCAACGTCTTGGTAGAGCAGGTCGTACTGGTCCTGGTATGTGTTATCGTCTGTACACCGAACGGCAGTACAAGGATGAGTTGTTACCTACAACAGTCCCAGAAATACAACGTACTAATCTAGCTAATGTTGTTCTTCTTCTAAAGTCTTTGGGCGTTGAAGACCTTCTTGTATTCCATTTTATGGATCCTCCTCCTCAAGACAACTTGCTCAACTCACAATATCAGTTATGGACTCTTGGAGCACTGGACAACACAGGAGTTCTGACCAAGTTAGGCCGTGCAATGGTTGAGTTTCCTTTGGATCCTGCACTTTCCAAAATGTTGCTGGCTGGTGTGGAGATGCATTGTTCTGAAGAAATCTTGACTATAGTATCCATGTTATCAGTGCCAGCACTGTTTTACCGCCCTAAGGGTCGTGAAGAAGAGGCTGATGCTATGCGAGAAAAGTTTCAAGTTCCTGAATCTGATCATTTAACATATCTTAACATCTATCGTCAGTGGCGTCTTCAGAAGTATTCCATGAACTGGTGCAATAAACACTTCCTACATTTCAAAGCCTTAAAGAAAGTAAGAGAGGTGAGACAGCAGCTCCACGATATCATGGATCAGCAAAAGCTAGCAGTAGTCAGCTGTGGTATGGATGAAGATTTAGTTCGCAAATGTATTTGTGCTGCCTACTTCCACCAAGCATGCCGTCTCAAAGGTATCGGAGAGTATGTTAATCTCAGGACAGGAACTCCATGTCATTTGCATCCAACCTCAGCATTGTTTGGTATGGGTTACACTCCAGATTATATTGTGTACCATGAGCTGGTTATGACAAGCAAGGAATTTATGCAGTGTGTAACTGCTGTAGAAGGAGGTTGGCTGGCTGAAGTTGGAGATAAATTTTATAGTGTTAATGAAGGAGGTGCATCAAGGATGGAGAAACGTCGCCAAGCCTTGGCTCACAAGGCTGCTATGGAGGCTGAAATGGACAGAGCCCAGGATACCCTGAAGGCACGAGCTGAAGAGAGGCAACGCAAACAAGAATCTTCACGTCGACAGCAGGTGTACGATATTGGCACACCAAGACGTGCACAGTCATCTGCTCGTTTTGGTATTTAAATAAACAGTATGTGTATATACAGTGGACCCCCGGTTAATGATATTTTTTCACTCCAGAAGTATGTTCAGGTGCCATTACTGACCGAATTTGTTCCCATAAGGAATATTGTGAAGTAGATTAGTCCATTTCAGACCCCCAAACATACATGTACAAACGCACTTACATAAATACACTTACATAATTGGTTGCATTCGGAGGTGATCATTATGCGGGGGTCCACTCTACTTTGAAAATGTGAAACAAGAAAAATTCTGATACAGGAGTAATGTTCTCATTTCACATAAAACTCCTGTTTAAGTCTAGAACATTGCTTCAACATGTTTGGAATGAAGAGAGGTATATCTAGCTGGTAGATGATAGGTCTTTAGGCATGGTTTAATAATGGAACACAGTCATTGAAAATTTTTTGACTGTTTAAATGTAGTTATATTCAATGAAATAAAGATACCACTTACCAGAATTGGGACCTTCTTCATTTAAATAATTTTTTTTTTATTAACTTGCTGCAAAAACTGGCTTGCTCAAGATCAAGGCCATTCCATATTTTAATTAAAAAATGTGGATTTAAGAAAATGGCATATTGCAAACATCCATTTTCTTGAACTGACAATTATGCAGTCTTGATTATGTATTGGGACAAAATAAGATTTGATAAATTGGGAGCCATCCTTTTAAGTGCCAGTTGCTCAAGTGCTGGTTTTGAAGTATTTGCCTCCTATTACACTACATGTTTATATTTGAAATATAGAATATCTGTATGGGGAGTTTTATGTCGGTATTTAGTCTTGATACAGTAAACCTCTAATTAATGGACCCCCTATTTAACAGGTTACAGAAACTGTGAACAGAAAACATTGGCCAGACAAACTGAATCACTGGACAACTAAAGAACCTGTACCTGTCCATGACCTGTCTCTATTCATTGTTACTTGAGTAATAGGCTACCCAAGTCAGTTTATTGTCTGTGCTCATACACACTTGTCATTCAGTCTAATATTCTCTGGATCTGCAGTGTTTTGTAAGACTATTGACATTAAGTAAAGTTTAATTAACAATGGCTTCTAAATTAAGTGGTGGTGGTGCCAAGAGGAAATGCATGGTCTTGTTGTTAAGCAGAAATTTTAATAAGGAAGGTTGAATCTGGTGTTTCAATGCTACGGGTAAGGAATATAGTGATAAGAAACAGATAGTTTACACCTCATCTTTCCATCACATAACAGGCAAGTAAAATTGCTGTAAATTACGTACTATGAAATTACTACATAGACATTACTGTACTCTACTGTACAAGCACACTACTATGTACAGTATTGCATTTTCAACTTCATATACAATACAGTATAGTACTGTACTTTCCAGTTTTACAGGTTCCAATACCCATATTAGTGTCCAGTAGTCTTCTCAGTCAGCAGACCAAGTCTACTGATTCAAAACTTTGTCCATTTGTGTTACAATCATGAAAAATCAGTTACATAATTTGGAATCTACAGACAATTGGCAGTAATGTGCATCCCCTCTCCCCTGTTAGTCCATTAATTAGAGGATTCACTGTTTTTTACAGTAACATTCTTATGCAAGCACATTTCTTTTTATATAATTTTTACCGTGTGTTTATGTAGTCAAAATGAAGTCATAATATTTTTGTAAAATTACTAGTTAAAAAAACATTGCATTATGAAAGATAATATAGATGTGACTTATGCATATTTACTTGCATGTGGGTACCGTACTGTTCTGTATTTAATATTAAAATTATAAAAAGTCAAACATTTTATTTTTTTACTGGACTAGTGCATCGGCCAGAAAGATGTTGCTGCGTGATCTTTAGGAGAAAAACATATTTTAGTGTCTTTGCCAAGAATGACTGATGACATACCAGTGAGATTAATGTAGCATCTCTATTTGTGTACAGTACTGGTCTCTTGAGGAAGGTGCCTTGATGCCACTGAGGGGCTCTTGATCCAAGGAACTGGATTTTTCCCTTAAGGTCAAACCTAAATGCCTTCCATTTCCCAAGTACTGTGTGATCCCTATGGGTTTAGTGCTTCTCTCCCCCCTTCGTTTTTAAAATAAATTTCACAGTACTGTGTAAAAGTTGTTTAAAATAATATATATACGCTGAATGCAGTCATGCACTGTTTTCACAGCATTGTCAATGTAAAATTAATTATTAATTTGTATACCAAAGGGGTATTTCTGTTCATAACTTTACAGCTTCTTTCATACAGATGTAAACTATAATTGTATATAAAGTATGTACTGAATGCTTCAGCTAAGTTGAAGCCACATTATATTTACTTAAATTTTTATTACATAGTAAAAAAAAAAAAAACTGAAAAATGGTATGTGTAATTTATTCTTTTTTTTTTAATTGATCATAATTGATATGCTGACTGTTATAATTAAAATAATTATAGACTTAACATGTTTGTTAATATCCCATACAGTCTTAACACTACTGGAATAGGTTGCATCTGCTCTGCAGTACAGGCAGAAGCATCTCTACTTGCCTAACTGCTTATATTTGGATCTCTCACCCATGGTCAAAGGGCTGTTGATCCAAGAAATTGGATCTCTTCTTTAGAAGAACTCTAGATACCCCTCTGTTTGCTCTCTAAATTATATCATCCCTCCCCATGTAATTTAGCTCCTATTGTGAGTGAATAGTAATTTCTGTTGTCCCTGTTCTAGCACAGTATTCATTGGTGGTGTTGTGGTGGTTGTCACACCACCTGATGAAAATTTAATCTTACTGTGCCAGGTGACCCTCTGATGAGGCATTGAGTGGTCATCTAGCAAGACATAAAATGTTGAAGTATTTATTACTGGAGATTGTCAGTGGATACAAGAGTGGCAACTGAAAGTGTAAGACTGATGTTCTCTCCATTTTACCCTTTGCTGTTATTAGCTGAAACACCATTGCACAGTTAGTGCTCTTGTCTATAGACAGCTGTGCTAAGCCTTGCTTAGACCGTATTGGAGGTGAAATCCTGGAGTTCTGCATCAAGGGTGAGAGGTAGGCTCTAGGAAATAATAATAACTGTTGCAGCAGAGGTGACTTTCAGGGTGGGTACCTGGTTTCTTTTTGTTCATTATTGGAACTGCTTCCATTTTAACCTTATCATAAATTAGTAAATGGTTCATTTTCCTGGATTCTAAGTGACTGAGACCCCTCTACTGACTACTGAACAGCCATGGGCCGACCTCAGAATCGGGAATCACTTTGCTTAACGTAGTATTGGCTCCTAACTAACCTGTTTGGTACCTCTGACCCCTACATTAACTTCATCATGAAACTAGCTTTACCCATGATGATGCACAGATTATACACTAAGGCAGAATAGCTCAAAGTCTTCTAAAAATTACAGACAATTGATGCTGCTGCTACCATAGCATATGCCTTGATTGCATACTGAGAAGTACACAACCTGGAAACCTCTCCTACTAGCAGAAATCTACCAAAATGACAATGAATGAAATTTTTATTGCAAACAATGAATCCTGAAGCATATGTGAATGACCACAACAATTCTTGACTTGTATTGGCCAAGACATCCATTGCCACCCTCTAAAATATGGGATGTGCATTATCAGTTATTGATGCTGACCAAAGTGATAAATTAATGCATTTCCACACACGGGCAAGATCCTAATGACTAATGGCAGCAGTAAGGGCTGGCTTGGGGGCTTCACCTCCATAAGACCCATCAGTTCCCCAAAAGCTACTATAATCAAAACTAAGAGCTAAACCACCAGGGTCATACAGTACTGCAGGGTAGGGGTTGTAAGATTGGCGAAGAATGCTAAAGGAAGTACAGGTCGATCATCACTAATCTGACATCATTGGGACCTATAGGGTGCTGGATTAGTGAGTTGGCCAGATCACAGACTAGTTAGGTTAGAATACACTAAACTCAACAGCTAACCACCTCATTCTACCTTTAAAATTTACAACTAAGCACATTTACATGTCTTGAGGTGAAGGACTGTCAGGATTCCCATCTTCATCTAGGAAGACAACCGAGATATCAAGAACTGATGATGACAGTGGCAGCACATCTGGGGTGAGATGAAGGCACTAGATTTTCAAGAGATGATTCCTCTCTTGCATGTTTTTTAGCTATTTTTTTAATATATCTTGCAAGCTGAGCTGTTTCATATATTTTGGCATTTCTTTGATTAGTTTATCCTGCAGCATGTAAACATTCATTATTTCTTATTCACCTATAAAATTGTGTTGCTATAGACCTTTTAGTAGTTCACCTGTCAACTGAACCTATCGATACACTTTCCACTACATCTTCATTTTCATCACTTTCTCCTCCACTGGCTTGTTGCTGTAGACTTAATTAAAACATCTGCACTATTTCTGAGTCAGTATAATGATGAACAGTAGCTGCATCTTCACCTACATTCATCCATTCTCCAACATTATCTTCATCCATTCTCAACACAGCAAGTAGCACTACCAAGCAGTAGTGGCAGGTTGGTGAGGTGACCTGGGGAAATTTAAAATTATGCTAGCTGAAATTAGTGCCGGATTAGTGATTGCTGGATCAGTGATGGCCGACTTGTATAATCAAAGGTTGTGTAATAAATCTGTTGATGTCAAAGAGGGTCTGTGTCAATGGTGGGGCCGTTAGCAAGGAGGGAAGATAAAGTAAGGGCGTTAGAGTGGTGATGACATCAAAGGTAAATTCTGCATGCTTACTGATAGACAGTCCAACAGAATATGGCAAACTGAAATTGGAACCTGACAATTTGCAGAGTGGAACTGGGCACCTCTCCATGAGATACCCACGAGTGAGACTTATGTGCCTGATGCAAAGATGGGAAAGTGAAGTCTCCCAACCATGACATCGATAAGAAGACCAGGATCCTAAACTCAGTTTGATAGTGTAATTTGTTATGAATCAATTCAGACCAATGTTGTTGCCAATGGTTGCAAAGGTGGCTAGAGAAAACAGCAAAATAATCAGAGAATGGAATAACGCCATGAAACTGGAGGGTTGTGTACTGCTGACTGCGCAGCAGAGTCTGCCTGCTCGATGCCCTGAACATCAATATGCCCAGGTACCCAGCAGAAAACTCTGTTTTGGCTAGAAATGTGGTGCAACCAAAGTTGTATATGAAGAACTAGGGGATGAGGCAAATTAAATTTTTTCATAGCTTGCAAGGCACTAAAGGAGTCAAAGACAACCACAAACGATGAGGTAGGCTTGGACACAACATGGATAACTGCTACAAGAATTGCATACAGTTCAGGTGTGAAGATGCTAGCTGAGTCTAGTTAATATATGACCTCATACAACACTGTCTGGGAACACTGCTGCAAATCCGACACTGTCAAGAGGATTTAGAACCATCAGTGTAAACTGCAATGGCCTGAGAATGATACCGGAAGTGGTTAAGAAAAATGGAGCAAGAAGCCACTGTAGGTATTTGAGCTTTCATGCACAGCAGTAGGGAAGAACAGACATGAACTGTTGGAACCTACCAAGGAGGAAAAGAAAAGTTATATGTTAGATATACATATAAAGGGGGCAATTGAAGAGAAGTCAAGAGCGAGTGAAGCCAAAGAAAAAAGGGATGAAGTAAACAGGGGTGGCAAATAAATAATGCACCTCTACTAATGTCCGTTACTATCCTGCATGTAGAAGGATTGTGAATGTCATGAGAGCGGACAGAATAAGAGACAATGGGCATCACAGCAATCATTCTGCATATAGGCTGTTGATGGGAGGAGCAAAAAGCACCTAGACAAATGTAATTCCTGATGATGGGTGGGATTAAGTTTAGAAAGAGTTGCAGGAGAGGCTGCAGAACATATCTGGTCGTCATAGTCGTTTCGATAAAATTAGGGCTTCATGCAGTCAAAGGAGAGTTCAACTATCCGCCCCCCACAAAAGATGAGCAAGGGATTTAACCCTTTGAGGGTCGACAGGCCCTCTCCGAAACTCGTTCTCAGGGTCGGCCAAATTTAAAAAAAAGAAAAATTATTTTCTCTTATGAAAAGATAGAGAATCTTTTCCCGATCATAAAGACACCAAAAGTTTGAAATTTGATAGAAAACTTACGAAATTATGCTCTCGCAAAGTTAGCGGTCTCGGCGATGTTTACGCATCGGCGATTTTGCCCACTTTGAGCCCCATTTTCGGCCAATTTCGCTGTACTAGTCGACAAAAAACATGAATATTTCGCTAGAACTCCATTTTTTCTATCGAATGGTGCAAGAAACCACCCATTTATGAAATTCAACTATCCAGTACAGTGGTCAGAATTTAGCAATTTTGCCAATTTCACACAAATTTCAAAAGATGCCAATTTCCGAATAGGGTCCAGAATAAACAAGAAAGACATTCCTGGCACTAAAATGACATTTCCTCTAGTCATTAGTCACGTCTCAAGGCCCCTCTTATATTCTTTTGCTTTCCATTTTGAATTTTTATTCTCACAAAAAATATAAGATTTACTGTTATGCAGACTACTGCATTAGTGTAAAAAAATGGTATAAATATTATTGGTGCACTTGTGAAAGAATATTAGACTCACCAGTTGACGTGTATTGCACGCTTGGCACGATTTGTTTACTTTTGAAGTTTGGTAAAAATCGAACATTTCTGCTACTTTGAGCTCAATTTCAAGGCACCTTTCTTTGTAAAACCAGCCAAAATCATCACAATTTCTGTAATATGTCTTCCATTCTATAAAATGAGACCAAGAAAACTAGAATACAACAATAAATACCATACGAAAATACACTGCAAAGTCGCTGATTTATTCCAAAAAAATGGTTGAAGTTTTTTTTTTCTCATTATGCACTGTGTGCTGCAGGATTTTTTTTAGACTGTGCACACTAACCACATAGACCCATTCTTTCATATGAAGGCCTACCAGCTTTCTCCCACTAGATTTGAGGCGCTAGAATTTATGCGTACTAGTACGTCAAAAACCCCTACACGTAAAACATACTAGTACGACGAAAACCCTCAAAGGGTTAAGGAGGTTCAGCCAGCTATGGCAAGTTGCTCTCAGGGAGGTAATGTGAGGTTTCCAGGACAGCTGGCAATCAAACAGAAGGCCGAGAAATCTGACCATACCACTTACAGGGATACAGGAGCCATACCAGTACACTGGAGTATCAGAGACAACAGGACATCTGGTGAAAGTAATTTGATGCATTTCAGCACCAGCATTACATCAATTTTTATTCTGTGAGTGTATGTATCATGTTTATATGCTATGTAATGGGTTTCATATATAATTTTGAGGAAAATATCATAGATGGATTAATGAAAATGCCTATATTGATGTAAAATAAGACATTTAGTGTGCCCAAGAGTGATTATTATTTAACCCTTTGACTGTTTCCGACGTATAAATACGTCTTACGAGCCAATGTTTCTGACGTATTTATACGCAT